CGGTGGTGGTTGTCTTCCGGATTGGGCTCGATGTCTCCTCGGTCCAGCAGTAACCTGACAATTCCCTCATGCCCTTTTTTGGAAGCCAAAGCGAGTGGACAATAGCCTTGTTCGTCCCGCAGACAAGGCTCGATGCCCTTGTGCTGAAGCAATAGCTTCACAGTTTCTTCGTGCTGGTTCAAAGTTGCCCAAAGAATGGGTGTCGTACAACCGTCATCTACTGTGTTGGGGGAAACGCTGCCGCAGTTCAGTAATTGCGCCAATATTGTATTGTGCCCATTCTCGGCAGCATATGAAAGTGGTGAGCGCTTTTTATTGTCGATTATATCGGGGTTGATATCTTTATGGCGGAGTAGCAGGTCTGTAATTCCCTCGAATCCCTTCCCAACCGCCCACGAAAGGGGCGTTCGTTGATTATGGTCTGCTGCATTGGGGTCAATGCCTTTCCGGTCCAGCAGCAACTTCACTATCGCATCGTGTCCCTTGAGAGAGGCCCACAGCAGTGGCGTCCGGTTGTCGCTGGATGGTACGTTTGGATCCACATTATTACTATCTAGAAGTAGTCTGACCACCCCCTCATGCCCGGCTTCGGCAGCCCACGAGAGTGGTGTTCGACCGTCATCGTCCTTCATTTTAAGATCTACACCATCCTGGCTCAAGAGCGTCTTTACGATGGTCTCATGGCCATTCCCGGAAGCCCACGAGAGAGGTTCCCGGCCAAGCGCATCTTCTAAGCTGGGATTGACTTTTTCATGACGAAGGATTATATCCACCATATTCCCATACCCATTCTCAGCAGCCCATGATAGAGGAGTCCGGCCATGGTTATCCTTTGCATCGGGATTGATCTGTGGTCGTTCCAGCAGTAGCCCCACCACCCCTTCATGCTCATTTTGAACGGCACAGAAAAGCGGTGTTCGGCCGCGGGTGTCTGGGGAGTTGAGGTTGATATCGACCCGGGACAGTAACAGTTTCAGTATTTCTTCACTGCCGCTCGCGGCAGCCCAGCAAAGCGGTGTGCAGTCATGATTGTCTCCGGAGTTGGGGTCAGTATCCCGTTGATCCAGCAGTAATCCCACCAGTCCCCCATACCCACACTTGACAGCCCAGAAAAGCGGTGTACGTTCATGGTCATCTCCTATGTTAGGGTTGGCAAACAGACCGAGCAATAGTTTTACCACCCCTTCCCACTTGTTCCGAACTGCCCAGAATAGCGGAGTTTGGTCATGATTGTCCCACAAGTTCAGATCGATACCCCGACAAGTTATTAATAGCTTCACCACCCCCTCATGTCCATTCCCGGCAGCCCAGGAAAGTGGAGTTCGATCACAATCATCCTTCGGGTTGGGATCGGTGTCTTCCCTTTTCAATAGCAGCTCAACTCCTGTGTCGTGACCGCTCTCAGCAGCCAAAGATAGCGGTGTTCGGCACTTGCTGTCTCTAAAGTTCGGATTGACATTCACACAATCCAGGAGAACTCCAACCGTCGCCCCCCACCCCCCCAGAGTTGCCCAAAAGAGCGGAGTTTGGCCTTCTTGATCTTCTTGATTGGGATTAATATCCGGCTGGGAGAGCAGGATCTTCACCGCCGCCCCATGCCCATTGCCGGCAGCCCAAGATAGTGGTGTTCGGCCGTCATCATCTGGCGCCTTGGGGTCGACATTCTTCTGCTCCAATAGCAGTTTCATCGCCTCCTGATGTCCATTACTCGCGGCCCATGAGAGGGGTGTCCGGTTTTCGTTGTCTGCCTCACTGGCAGAGACAGCTTCGTTGCATAGCAGGAGTTTCACCACTCCCTTATGTCCATTGCCAGCAGCCCAAGAGAGTGGCGTTCGACTATCATTATCTGGCAGGTTGGGATCGATATCTTGGCAGGCCAGCAGAGCTTCCACCATTCCTTCTAACCCGCTACGGGATGCCCAAGACAACGGTGTCCGTCCGAAGTGATCACATGGGTTAGGGTTGAGCCCCTTGCGGTCTAATAACAGCTCAACTATTCCCCCATGCCCTCCTGCGGCGGCACACAATAGTGGTGTCAGACCACCAGCTCCCTTGACTTCGGGATTGACACTCTCCCGCTCGAGCAATAGCTTTACTACACTCTCGTGCCCTTCAACGACAGCACAAAACAATGGTGTGCAGCCGTCGATTGCCGGAGAATCGGGGTTGACCTCATTGCGCTCCAGCAACAGCTTCGCTATTCCCTCATGTCCATTCGAGGCAGCCCAATGAAGCGGCGTTCGGTAGTCATTCCCCATGGAGTCAGTATCAGCACCCGGTGAATCCAGCAATAGCTGTACCACCTCTTCATGCCCCCTACGAGTGGCCCAGACTAGGGGTGTGCAACCCACACCGTCTTTGGTATTCGCAGAGATACCTTCCATGCCGAGGAGCGCAACTGCAATTTCGGAAAGGCCAAAGAATACGGCACAATGCAGTCCAGTAATCGTTCTAGCGATGGCCCCAACCTCCCCCTCTGGACAGTATCCACTATTGCGCAGGAAAAGATTGGCAGAGATATGATTTGGGTACATGCCCAGTAACTCAAGTGCAAGTAATCTCACATTTTCCGTGGTTTCTATTTTTGCATGCGTTCCCCAGCAACTGGAAGCGTATTGGAGGAATGGAACTGTTGATGGAGGGGAAGGGAAAGTAGGCGATAAATCCTTAATCCGTCGAAAGTTGAGATAAGTGAGGCATACCTCCGCAATTCTTGAGTGGGCATTCTCAAAAAGCTCAGAATGATTGGACAGGTACTCTTTCAGTGTGGCGTGTATCACACGGACAATAGAGGTTTCCTGGTCGATCGTGACAAGTCCAAGACAGCAGTCTAACAATGTCTGTACCGAAGGAATTTTGTCGGGATCAAGATCGGTGGCTCCTGTTTCCACAGATAGGGCGTGACACAGCTCATCAACACGCAATGGTCTCTCCGTGAAGGAAACCCACATCAATACCGCAATCCCGAGCCGCGCCCAGTCTTCCCTTTGCTTGCTAACTCTTTCTAGAGCCAGATTATAAGCTTCGTCCAATCCAGATGGCGTACGACGCAACATTTCTCTCCGCTCGATCACGGTTTTCTCTCCTAAGATCGCGTCGATATGAAGAGTTGCGAGAAGGAAACTTTGGATTATCAGCCGGCTGATCAAACGTAACTGTGTCACGCCAGCACCTTACTTACATCTTTGGGAGCTCATGAACCTGTGTCGTGATCTCCGACCTCAAACTATCATCCATGCTGTCTGGCGCCGGATCCCGGCCCAGCTTCCACCCAGAAAATATCTCAATATCATCGGGGACTGGTTGTATCGTTACAGGAACTGTAGGCATCGCAAGATGTTTGTCCAGTTCGGGCTGGATATGGGATTGTCCTGTCAGAAATAATCGTGTCCTTGGCGAATCTTGCATGACTTGTCGAAGCGAGCGGAACAACCCAAGCCTGGTATCCGCCGAGAATTCGTCCATGGCATCAATAAACATGAAAACTTGGCTAAAATACGCTATAACACGGGGAAATAGGTTCAGGATGATTGCAAGCAGCGAATCTTGTTTTTCGAGACGCTCCCCCGCTCCCCGGAAGGCCTGTGTGATATCTTCTGGTATATCTGGCAACGCGGCGACTAATCGCTTTAGTAGACCACCCATCACAACTGCCGGGCTCTGATATCTCCGATCCTGATGATCACAATATATGTAGCTTACTCCAATATTCGCTCTGGTGGGATCGTTGATACTGCTCAGGCTGTCGATAGCTAAGGAGCTAAGTTTTACCGGTTAGAGGCGATACATATTTGCTTGATACCTCGGAATATTCGAAGCAATACCTGACAAAAGTCTTTCCTGCCCCCGGAACACCCTGACAGAAGAGGATCCGATCAACAGATTCACCGTCATCGCCGCGCCACGACAGGAATTCAGCAGTTTCTAGAAACCAATCCCCCACACCTTCAAGGCGAGAGTGAGACACTCGGGAATGCTGCTTCTGTGGTTCTAGCGTGGAGAGCCATAAAAGTATATCCTTTCTCTCACCCATAACAGATCCGGTAGGTTCATTCGACACGTCGGAAGAGCCATCGTCGCTTAGGTCGGATTCGCTGCTCGCGCTCATACTAGCTGTTGTATCTGGTAATGGATAAGATGAGCCCAGCTGTGTTAGGAAAGAGGAGATAAGTCAACGTGGGAGAAATACTCGTATGGGGTCACAGAGAAGGTGGCGGGGAGTTGGTTCCGGGTTTGGAAGGGTGGAATGGGTGTGGTGGGGGGCTGTGTATGAGTGCTGGCATGATACGAGTAAAAGTACTCGCAGCAGTCTTGCCCACCCAGCCCGCCTAAGAGGAGCTGGACGACCGAAGCCGAGACCTGGACAGGCTGGACCTCGGACAACTAGAATTGGCCAATGCATATACGGCAGTTCAACATATACTGCCGGTAATTACTGTACTTGTACTGTACCGGTACCACCACGGGATAAGGACAAAGGCTCCAAAGTGGTGTCGGGAGGTGGACTATTTCCCGGTCGATGGTACCTGGTACCGCAGTGGATTTAACGAGTTTTTACCGTATCCGAAAGGGTCTACCGCCAAGCGCACTGTAAAGTTAAACCGTGCGAGGGCTCACCCCAGCGAGGCATGGCACGGCTTGGCTTGCTATGATACTCGAGTACGGTACCGGTATTCGAGTTTTTACGGTAGACCGTGTGAGCCCTCAGCGAGGCGGCACCCTCAACGAGTTAGTTGTTGCTACGAATAGTATGATTGTGGCAAATAGCAGTATTTTAGGTGGTATCATAGACAACACCGCGCCTCGCTGAGGGTGCTGTCTCACTGAGGGATCACACGGTCTACTGTTCTTGCACGCTGGCTGCCGTTTCTACCAAATCTTGCCAAGCCTCGCTGAGGGTGTCCCCTTGCTGAGCCCTCGCACTGTCTACCGGTAACTTGACCTGTTGTCCAAGACCGGTAGTCTACTCTACACACATCCTCTCGGTTCATTCACTCCTCGATCCTATTCCCCATATACCGATACCTTTCAACTGTCCCATTTTCCCAGCTATGAATGAGTCGGAAGGCACCGTCCTTCTCGCAACCTCGGTTTGGAGGGGGCTCAAATGTGTGGAAACCTTCGCCAAATCCCACCAACACCGCCGCACCATTAGGATGTTGTTCCAACGCATTCTGAGTGTCAAAACCAAATTCCAGGATACGTTTGGTGCCCCTCCCGAAGGCGCCAGCGCTGATAGGGGGAGACTTTGGCCAATTATTTCTGAGGGTGATTGCGTCCCGGGTGAACTCCTGCTTGAGGATGATATCAGGGTTAAACTCGGTCGATACTATTACCGATTACGGTACTCCCTACAGGACGCAAAAAGAGTATTAGACGATATCACGTCAATTTTGGGGGCAGGTGGCAATGAGGGGGGGGATCTAGTGTCGGGAACCCTGGATCCTGCGGCCGGCGCACGAGATCCTTCAGCCAGAACACTAGTGCTCGAGAGGCTAGCCGGGGAATTAAAAATGCACATTAATGACGCTATTACCTTCCGAAAGTCGGCCCCCTGTCCTCGGACTGCTCCCGGCTGTTCGTGGATTAGCTGGCTCTCCGGCCCTGCCATTGCACCGGCGGTCATACTAAAGAACTTTTTCACCTCCCTTATCCCTAGTTGCTACAGTGAACAATCTAGATCGAATCCCTCAACTGCTTCCACTATCCAATGTGCTCTGTCGAAGTCTGAAACCAATCCTACTACCTTGACCGAGCTCTATAACGTACTCTCGCGCGAGCTGGGGTGCCGATGCCACTTCGCCCATCTAGGTTTATGCAGCGCCTCCGTGGACCCCTCAGAGTCCGGTTCCTCCTTAAAGGAGTTGGGGAGCCCGGGGTCAATCTGTTCTCTGTTTGTCACTCTCGACTTGAGCACCCTTATGGCTAGCTATGTCGACAAGGACCCACTCTATTTTAAAATCTCGAGACCCAGATCCGGTGACGGAAATGGCGCGCAACCAACCTCTCCTCTCCCCCAATCACCCACCGGGCACTCCACCTCTTGCTCAAGAATCACAACCTCACCCTTGGGCTCCAAGCATAGCCTCCGGTGCGAGGCTCCCTCTCGAACCAAGTTTCTTATCGAGTCCACCCGCCCTCCGCCCGCCGGTGCCCCTTCAAAATCTCCAACCTACAAACCGGTTCTAACGCTCCGCGACATCTTGGCGCCGCACTTCCAGGAAGGAAATACCATGAGCTGGGAGGAGGATAGGCTCCGTCTTGCTGCCAAATTGGCTCGCTGGGTTCGCCTGCACTATGACACCCCCTGGCTCGGCGACCTAGATCCCCAAAAGATTTGTTTCTTTAGGCGATACGAGAATAATCCCAACTACGCAAATTGGACTCCTTATATATCTGTCTCCTTCGAGAGACCCTCAGACCCGTGCGGGAAGAATAATGGTGGGCTTTATGCACTTGGATTGGTGCTTTTAGAGCTAGGGCTCAGCAAACCGCCCCACCATTCCCCCGACGACGACGACCGGGCATGGGCTGTCAGGATTGCTTCTCGTGACCTGCTGTGTACCCTTGGGAAGAGGTATCAACGCATTGTTGAGCAATTATTGGCTGAGGGGGGCGAGGCCGGTAGGATGGAGGGAAAACAGATAGATGAATTAGAGAGTAAAATCATGTCGATCATACAATCTCTTAACCGTAAATAATTGTGGGCTCAGGGCTGTGTCGAGCCCTGGAGCTTTGGGGGAGAACTCGGTTTGTAAGGGGGGTCTGTTCTGTATTGGGTGTCTAGCTGTGCTGAGTGTCGGACATTTTCGTTCTTGTATACAGTTAAATCGCGGGAATTCCATCGGGTGGGGGTGTGTATTTGCAAATGGCATGCAGCATTTACTGATATGTGCCTTATTGGAAGGGGGTTTCTCCTGTTACAAGTACAATATCTGCTTGTTATCCCGAAAAGCTCTGATGTCAATAGCTGACACAGTTAAGGAGATGGCTATGGTACCGTATTAATTTGAATAAGATCAAGACCACTCAGGACGTCTAGGGTTTTCCCCTCCTGGTAACGCGTGGTTCTATTTGGCTAGTATCCCCTCCCGTCCCCACCAAAATAGGCAAGTCGGACGTCCTGAGACGTGTTGCTCTTATTCAGGTTAATACCGGTAGGGGATGAAGCTATGAGAGTGAGGTTACCGCGGATAAAATGTAGTCTAATTGGACACGATGAAGTGATGGATGATCAATGGAGATGCCGGCCAAGGAGAGGCCATAGGATATATATCCTCACAATAAATATTATTATTATTATCACACACTACTTACTTCCAGCTCTGGAGACTACATCAAACCAAACTCTAGAAAATAAAGAAGAAACCGGGGGCAGAAAAAACATTCGGGTAGTGACAGGGACTCGACATAGACACTAATAAAGTGAAGGAAACGATCTATGATATCATCAACCAGACAGGCACGCAAACATTATTGGAACCATACCCAATGCCGAACTGTGTGTACGATAGAACGGAGGAAGCGGCGGACTTAAACCGAATTCCAGACGCCTGATGTCCTATGGCAGCGGGTAACTTATGATGTAACTTAAAGGAGACAAGAACAGCGGCCTATTCCTAATAGGGAGCTTCAAAGCTCTCAGTACGCTGCGAACCGAGTACACAATATACCCCGCAAATGTAGGTGTACTCGAGTACTGCTTGGATAAAATGACCGTACCTCTGCACCGGTATGCTGCATCCCTCCTCCTGAGGAGGCTTGCTGTGTACAGTACCATAATTTCCAAAACAAAACAAAACACACCTCTACCGAAACACCCGTACCTTCCGTGTACCGGGAGCATTGAACCTCCCTGATGATGGGATTTGAAAATGTCCCGTAACCGGTACCGGTACGGTGCAAAGATCAAGGATTAACGATCGGTATGGTGGGTGTGATGGCCTAAAATTCAGGATAAGCGGTACACCCGAGAAACATGGCTCTGAGGTATGATTGACGGGCAGGGTGCCTGGCCTCCGATGCAATACGGTACAGACATTTATCGGAAAAAATCTCTCCGGGCTCTTGGTAAGCAATGGAAGGAGTTTATTTTCAGGGGAACTGGTTTAAAGGTACGATACCACTAATTTTGACAAAAACCAACGCCAGCACTCCCGCTCCGTGCAGCTCAGTGCTGTACGAGCGTACAGCACCAATCCTTTGGCCCTCGGTATCGTAACGCGAACAAACAAAACCTAAACGAATTTGGCGGGAGGTGTTTTGTCCAGAACGTTGGTGTTTACTTGAGAGTATGATAGGAAGACCGGTGTCGCGGACAAGGAGGTGGGCGGTGGTACCCCTCCACGATGAGCGTCATATCGCGGGATGGATCTGGCACGAGGGAGCGCTGTGCTCTACGGTACTAGCATGAATAGTGGCTTCACCAGCCTAGACGGTTAGTTCACGTGGTATGCAAAGCGGCAACCTGCCATAAAAACTTACCAGAGCACATTAGTAGGAGTAGCAATGGCTATCAAAATTATGGGAGGAAGGAAGGTTCAGGAGGCAGATCACTGATCAGAGGAACCGCGGAAAGACATGTTCAAGTAGTTAACCGTGCCAAGCTTCCCACCCCTTCAAAGGACGCACGGCTATGTATCATCCCGGGACTAACAATAGTCTAAGCAATTGACTGGTATCGTATCGCAAAATTCAAAAAAAAAAAAGGTCAATACCAGGATTCTACCTAACAAGCGAGCTGAAATTATAAGAGTACAGTACATGTACAAGTACCCGTACGATGTGGGATATCATACTTTTCCCGGCTCTAGAGCCGGTATTGAACCCGACCCTAACGCTTTGCTGTCCAGCAAATGTTAACATGCAGTACCCGAATACGAGTACTGTACTCTAGTATCGGGGGGAAGTACGTGAAGGCTCGGTAAGATTCGGATCCGCCTTCCTACCAGGTGAAAGTGAGCACTGTGGTGCCGACAAGAACCTGACTCTAATATTTATGGTTGGTCCCCGCACCCTGCCATACACATTGTTTAACACTTTTCGGTATAAGTTCGCTTGGCCCTAACAAACCCCGGAGTGCTTATAAGGAGACAAGTTGGAAAGAAATGCGAAGAGTATTGGTCTACTATCATACCGTATGTAATACAGGTCATCAAATTACCAAATCAGAAAAGCCCTAACCCCCCCCCCCCCCCCGAATCCAACTAAGGACAAGACTTGAGACAATGAATGAAATGAGATGCACCTAAACCTTACAAAGAAAACCATTGCTCCCCCTTACTGTATGATACATACACACAAAAGCAAAAGGTAAGAGAAGGAATAGCCAAGTACGGAAGATATTTGAATACGCGCGGGAATGATAGCTGCACGGTCCCCTCGCGCTGATCTCTGGCGATTCGGGGGAGTGGGGATCGGTCGAAATCCATCGAGTGGGGGTTGGCCATGTTCCTCTGGGATGGGGGGTTTGTTGTTTTCTCGTGTCCTTCCGGTGCTCGGGAGACTAGGGTGCCATTATCATCATTCGTTGAACTAGGGCTAACACCCAAATTGCTGATTTTCAAAAGGTGAACTATTTCACCGCATCTATTGTGAGCAGCCCATGAGAGCGGCGTTCGTCCACCGCGGTCCGCTAGGTCGGAATTAATGTTGCTTCGGCTCAGTAATAGCTTTGTCACTGTTTCCTGTCCGTTTCCGGCAGCCCATGACAGTGGAGTTCGTCCAGCGCGGTCTGCAATGTTGGGTTCAATGTTGGTTTGGCCCAGTAATAGCTCTGCCACTGTTTCCTGTCCGTTTCCGGCAGCCCATGACAGTAGCGTCCGTCCGGTACGGTCTGCCGAGTTGGGATCCACATTTGGCTGGCTTAGCAAAAGGTCTACTACCTTTTCATGCCCCTCGCCGGCAGCCCATGAGACCGGGGCACGGCCTCCGCTGTCTTTCGAGCCAGGGCATGCATTTCCCTGGCTCAACAATAGTTGTACTACTGCTCGATCTCCGTTCCTAGCAGCCCATGAAAGCGGTGTCCGGCTATCTTTGTCTGCAAGCTCAGTATTAATATTCTCAGTCTTCAGCAGCAGCTCTACTATCTTGCTCCGCCAACTGCCAGCAGCCCAGGAGAGCGGTGTTCTATCAAAGTTGTCGGCCAGGTTGCAGTCGACATGCTCAGACTCCAGCAACAGCTCCACGACACGCTCATGCCCATGCATAGCAGCCCGTGCTAATGGTGTCTGCCCATACTCTCCAATATAATTTGGGTTGATGCCTTCCCGGCCTAAGAGAAGTTCCACGACTCTTGCATGGCCACTTCCAGCAGCCCACCAGAGTGACGTTGAGCCATTCTTTCCCAGAAAGTCTGTTCTGCCCTCTCCTCTCTCCATGAATAACTTCACCACTTCTTCATTCCCCATACTAGCAGCCCATGAGAGCGGAGCCATACCACCATTATCTACTTTCATAGCTATATCGGGTATCGTGCTAATTTCGTCCAGTAACAGCTTTACTACTGAACCGTGCCCACACTCAGCAGCCCTCGAGAGGAGCGTTCGCCCGTCACAATCTGGCAATTTTGAGTGGGATGCCCGCCTGCGTAAAAAAAAGTTGACCATTTCCTGATGCCCCTCCTCGGCAGCCCAGGAGACGGGTGTGCGACCCTTGTTGTCCGTAGTGTTGGGGCAGGCCTCCCCGATTCCTAACAATAGCTGTACTACATCTTCATGCCCACCACCGGAGGCCCACGAGAGCGGCGTTCGGCCGTGACAGTCTTTTGTTTCGGGGTTGATTTCACGCCGGCCCAGTAATAACTCCACTACTTCCTGACGACCATTTCCAGAAGCCCATGAGAGCGGCGTTCGGCCAAGGGAGTCCCTGGCTTCGAGGTTGATAGCACCATCCTGCAGAAACAATTCTACCACCCCCCCGTGTCCATTCCTAGCCGCCCACAAGAATGGCGTGCACCCATCATGATCCCCCGCTTCAGGATCAAAAATATCTTTTTGTTTCAACAGCAGCTGTACTAATTCCTCATGCCCATTTCTCGCGGCCCATGTCAGTGGGGTGCTTCCGGTTATGTCTTTTCGACCCGAGTTAGAGACTTTCGTATCCAAGAGGGCGGTTGCCATTTCCTGGAGACCAAAGAACGCCGCGCAATGTAGTCCAGTAAAGCCATGGGGAGATTTCTTCGTGTCGCACCCCCAGGGCCAACATTTCTCTAACAAAAGTAGCTTAGCAGAGATATGTCCATCGTATTGATACAAGAGCTCTTCAGCAAGCGCTTGCACGCGACCCGTGTATTTATCTCGGGCGTGATGCCCCCAGTAGCAGGATGCGTACTGGAGAAAGGGGGTTTCCTCCGGGGCAATACAGAGAGAAGGTGGCAGAGATTTGATATGCGTAAAGTTGAGGTACGTAAGGCATGTTTCCGCAATCTCCGGGTCGGTATTCTGCAAAAGCTGAGAATTTTTGTGCAGAAAATCCCTTAATGTGGAGTGTATCAAGCGGATGGTCAATGTTTTCCTGTCAACGGTAACAAGCCCTAAACAGCAGGCTGACAGTGTTAAGTACGAAGAAACCCTACCGGGACAGTGACTTTTTGACTTTTTTTCGACAGCTAAGGCATGGCTCAGTTCGAGGGCACCCAATGGCCGCTTTGAATAGCAAAGCCACATTAAGACCTTAAGAGCGAGCATCGATGAGGCGGGGGTCTGATCGACTATTCGATTGATTGTCTTGCGGTATTCGCACTCCAGCTTCTCACCGCATTCCACCTCTAGGAGTTTTGCCCTTCTGTCGTGCACA